GTAAAAGTATGTACCGGGCAGAATTGTGTTCCACGGAACCTGCTTTGAAGCTGGTTGCGTGTACTGGTAATAATGGGTTAAGAAAGTGTACACAGCTACCTGGTTAGCTTGTGACACAGATCAGAACGGAGGGGATACAGTGAAAATAATTCGAGAAACAATTCGCTTACGGATGTATTCAAGGTATCGTGACTCTCGTGTTGAGTGTCTGTCGGTGGTAGACCTGATGACGTGAGTGACAAAACGGTGGTCTGTGAGGAACGTGAATTCTCGTCCTTCAAGGAGATGGCGGAATTGGCGGATACCGAGGTAGATTTTTTATTACACACTTAGGTGTGATGAACAGCAGACGAGGCGAATCCCATTGTCACGAGGACTTGCTGTTCAATGGTTGAAATCGGCAACCTAAGCCCCGGAACCTCGAGTGGCGAACCACATAAGATCCCAATAGGTTAGACGTGGTATTGAACCGGACGACAGCAGCGCTGCCTGCCACCAAAGTCAGGTGGCGGTGGTGGAGCTCGAACCTCGGACCATAGGGTCCGAAGCACGCCGGTGACAGCGACTAAACCACTGCGCCACCAACAACCGATTACCAGGGGTTCTCGACCGAAGGCGCTGTACCTTGACTCGGCCGGTTGGAGCCTCTTGAAGATAAAAGCTATTGGTTGCCATTCCTGTCTCACATTTGTTGGAGGACGGCGCACACTGTGTGGTCGGACGCATCGGTGACGAGTGCTAGTTTGGCGGAGGGGTCGGGGTGGGTTATTGTTGCGACGTTGCTGGTTGCTCGTTTCAACGCATTGAAGGCGTCTCAAGCAGCTAATGTGAACACCAACCATTTTGCTTTACCCCTAAGTAGATCACTGAGTGGCTGCATAAGTTGTGCACACTGAGGGATGAAACGAGGATAAAAGTTGACCAAACCGTCGGACCTGCTTAAACGTGGTGGGCTCCGGGTAGTCTATTACCGTCTGGATTTTGACACTTAGTGGCTCGATACCAGTGGCTGTGGTGCGATGACCGAGGAAATCAATGTTGGAGGCACCGAAGACACATTTTTGTGCGTTGACCGTGACACCGTGCTTGCCAGACGATCAAAAATTGCTCAGAGTTGTGCCAGATTTTTCTAGCGCGATGAGCTAGTCACTAGGGTATCGTCTAAGTAAACAAAAACATAGTCGAAACCCCGACAAACGTTGTCAATGAAACGTTGGAAGGAGTGTGCGGCGTTGCTTGAACCGAATGGTATTCGGAGGAATTCGAATACACCAAACGGTGTGACTACGACAGTTTTGGGGATGTCGGCTTCTGCTACCGGTATCTGGTTGTGTGCGCGAACCAGGTCGATGCGGCTGAAAAGAGCTTTACCGGCTAGGTCTGACGTGAGATCCATGATGTGAGGGATCGGGTATCTATCCGGGGTTATCACGCGGTTGAGTGCGCGATAGTCTCCACATGGACGGCAGTCGTTGGAACCATGTTGGGACCATGTGTAGAGGGGACGTCCATGGATTTTCGTAGGGGCGTTTGACGCCCATGTTCAGCATATGCTGAAATACTGCGCGTACGGTGCGCAACTTATCTGGGGCTAATCGACGGGGACGTGCGTGCACCGGTGGACCTCGAATCACGATGTGGTGCGACACCTTCGTTGTGATAGGTGACAGCTCGGTGCTGGGGCGAACGAGGCTAGGGGATTCGCGGAATAACGGTGAATAAGGGAAATCATCGTGTGGAAAAGGGAGTTGTATATTCTGTGTATACGAATATACCAGGGAACCGACGACTACTCTAGAAGTGAGTGTGTCTCTAGTTTGTCGCTTGCGGGGATCTGCGATTAGACCGAGGTGCTGTAAACGGTCTAGGCCAAGTATGGCGTAAGGAACCCGAGCGACCACGAAAACCCAAGGTAAGACGCGGTCTTAAACTAGGTAGCCTCTTTCCATAGGTTTGGATAGGGGTACCGTTGGCTGCCTGCAAAGTCAATGCTGCTGGGTTGGCACTATCCTGTTTAGCGAGCGGGATTTTACTGACTTAGGCACCAGTATCTACCATAAACGTAAGCTTGGATGAGTTATCGTAGTTAAAATGGAGGTGAAAGGGGGTACGAGAGCTGGTTGAGGTAGTCTATGTGACCTGCCGGCCTACTGTTTTCCCTGCTAGTTTCTAAATGAACACGGCGGTTCGCACTTCCTAGCTTGATTACGGAAGCGTTTGTGGTAATAGCACCGACCGCCCCTAGACGGGGTTCACCTATGCCCGTTGCTTGACCGGGAACGACTACAGGTCGATCGGGTAGTCTGCAGATTGTTGATTGTGGTCTGCATAGTGGTCATAGAAAAAAAGAAGGTCGGCCAACTGCTTAGACAAACACTGCACTTCTGTCATGGGATCGTTGGAGAGCTTAACAGGAGCTGAATTCGGAAGCGTCTCGTGAACCATGGTTGCTTCAGGGCTTTCAACGTTCGCCATTATGAGCTGAAAAAGTTCAGCTTGCTTCATGGCTCGGTCTACAGCTTCCGCTAATTTGTCAAAACTGGGGGAATGTGTGAAGACGTTAAGTATACTCTGTAGGTAAGGTGGGAGCTACTGAAGCCAGATCTGGCGTAGAACAGAGTCGTATAACGTTGTGCTGCCTATCAACGCACGCATCTGACGAAATAACTGGGACGGTTTGAGGATTCACAGTTGTATCCCAGATAGTAGAAGCTGGATGCGCTTCTCCCAAGAAATGGCCACACGATGGAAGAGTGCTTCTTTGAGCACGTCGTATGGGTTGTGTGTGGGGATATTCATATCTATATCCCTGAAAATGCTCTCCATAAACCGCGATATCGCAGACAACAGCTTATAGTAAGGGGATATTTACTCTCCGATGCCAGCTTCATGGAATCGAGCTACAAGAAGTGCGAGGAATGCTTCCGGATCTCCTGGAATAAACTCTGGTGCCTCGATGTGGACCAAGAGTGCTTCGCTGTCTACGAGATACTTATGATCGGGGCTAGTCATAATTATTCGTGAATATATAAGAAGGTTATTGAACGGATCACAAACATATTACCGTACAACTAAAAAACGTTAGAAATATGAAAATGGAAAAATCCAATAAAAAATGAGCATTAAACCACAAAACTAGAAATATATATAATCTAAATTTATATGAAAGAGAGTGGATCCGTAAAAGTATGTGCGAACAACTTGCCAGAAATATGAACCCAGGGAAAATTAAAATTTCCCGAAAGAAAATATTCCCAAAGTAAATTAAATAAAATAAGAGCTCACCAAGTTGAAGGGACTCCTTATTGATACCCCGAACTATTACGTTTATGTCGCAACCGAACGTTCTTACGAAAACACATTTAATGATTGCAGTAGTACTTGTATTACGAACGAAATTCGGAACACCAACCACGCATTATGAATTACAGGACCCGAATCGATAATCAGCTATCAAGGACTGGATCTCAGAAGCACTGGACCACAATGACACGGGTTCGCAACGTCCCACAATAACGAGACGCGAGGAAAGGGCCACAGGAATAGTGGTAAGTAGTAGCACGTTTATTGGAAGAAATGAGGGCGATTAAATAATATGTACAAAAGAATATTATTGGTTGTCTAGGCCTCCACCAATCGGATTGCAGTACTGCTTGCATAATTCTGCTTCTGTCTGCACTGTCTTGGATTGGCTGACAACATTCACTAATGACGTGTATTCAGCAGCCATGCACGTGTCAGTGACGTCAGCATTCGGATTTGATTGATTGCAAATGTCCTGAAACTGTAACGCGCCGCTCCCGGGTAGGCGTCATCGCGTAGGCCTGGATCATCACAACTCTCCTCCGTCAAGAGAACTTCGTCAAATTGGTTTGCTCTTCTGATTGGTCGTCGGAGGGCCAGTGGGGTATTCTCATCGGTATATATTCTCGGAATAGGGACTGTTGCCTTTGAAATTCAGTAGGTGTTGACGGCGTCTCACTAGGCGGATTTTTTTGAATTTCTTCCACAGGAGCTTCTTTCGAAATGGAAGTTTCGTTGAAATGAATTTGTTCGATGTGGCGTCGATGAACCGTTGCATCTGTCAGATATGTGATCTCGACCATAGCTTGACCGATCTTGGGGTAATGAGTGCTCTTGATGGTTTTAAGTCGTTTCCCGGAAGTATACGACGTCACTCGAATCCACTCATCGTAATGAGGACCGTAAGCTTCTGGCTTAAAAACGTTTCGCTGGACTCTCTTTGGAGGTAGCATGTGCGGC